GGGGGCACACAGAGGACAACTGGGGACCCTGTGAAGAGGGCAGGCCTCCCTAAGGGCAGACTCCACCCGCGGCAGCCTCTCGCTGGTGGCACTGCAGACAGAGAGTTCGCAGAGACGGGCAGACTGGTGGAGTCCCTGGCCACAGCCCAGGTCCGTGTAGGTGCTCGGGCCGGGGCCTCCGGAGCTGTACCAGCAATGAGCAGCTGCCCTGTGGTGGCACCCTGAGGGCACCCGGGCCTCCCACAGCAACAGGCAAGGCTGGTCCCACAGCCAACACCAGCGGGGTGGTCATTCTTCCCTCTCACAGGCTGAGGAGCTCAGGGAGCACATTGGGAGCTGCTGCTGGGACCCCAGCCTCCCTGCCTCCATGCCCCAGCCCCGTCTCTGTCTTCCTCACTTCTCTCCCTCCTTTGCCTGCCTCTCCTTCCCAGTCCATTTCTCACTCCTGCCCTGCACAGGCCCAGCTCCCCACTGGAAGCTGCCAGTCCCTGAGTCAACAAAGAATGAAAGCTGGGAACCAGAGGAAAGTCCCCCGGTCCGGGCCAGTAAATGGATATGGTTTACAAAAGGAGAGTTAGCAGCCCAGCCTGACTGAGCAAGAGAATCCCCTGTGTGCAGCCCCCAGTCGGGGAAATAAAGGGCGTTTACAGGCCCCAAACGGGCCACGTACCTGCTCAAGGACACACAGGCAGAAGGAGAGGCCTAAGGCCAGCCTCCTGACCCAGCCCAGGGCTGCCTCCTGCACCAGGCTGAGGTCGCATCTGCAGATATGGCCAGGCTCCCCAGGGAAGGGCAGCCTGCAGGCCCACATGTCAACATACCACCACCCTCCTAAGGCGAGGGCAGCTCCAGAATTTCTGGAAGGCATCTGATGAGGAGTAGGGGAATGGGGGGCTTGATAAGGCAGAAAAGTATCATGGAGAAGAACTGGATTCTAGAGACATACTGACTAGGTTCAAATCCCAGCTCTGCCATTTATTAGCTGTGTGACTTGAGCAAGCCACAACCTTTCTTGCCTCGGTTTCCTCATTAGAACAGGTACTGTGAGTGTCCACCTCATTAAGTTGCTGAAATGGGTTCATACAAAGAGCTCAGAGAGGTGCCAGGCAGAGGAAGCCTGAGGAAATGACATCGTACTCTTAATTCTGGGATAGCACGGCAAGCAGACTGCTTTGTGGTAACTTAGGGGTGTTGAGGAAATAATGGGGATCACAAAGGAGCTAAAGCACCCCTGTCCCCCACAAAGTCCAGCTTGGGTGGGTGCTCCTGCGTCCCGGATGTCCTGCCTTGTGTCCAGGTCACCCTGGAGCAGGGAGGAGAGGAGAGGGCCAGGCCGTCTCTGCAAGGCTCGTTCTCCGGTCCTCAGCCCAGCAGCCCCTCACCTGGCGGGCAGCCATTCTCCGTCTGGCTGCCGCCTCCGTGCTGTGCCTCTGGCTGCTTGGCCAACCCAGGCCCCGCCGCCGCCTCCTCTGCCTCTGGGGTCCCGTCCTGTTGCGAGGACTCAGCCAGGACCCGTAGGACGCTGGGCAGGACAGGACCCAGTTAACCCTGGCCTGCAGAGCCCAGCCCACCTTCCCCAGACTGGCGGGGTGGGGGCGTGGGGCAGGCCCTGTAGAGCCCCTCGCCCTGTGGGGGGCACCCCTCTTCCTCCAGCAGCTCAGCCAGGAGGCATGGGCAGTGAGGGCTCCGTCTGCGACCAGGGTCAGGGCTGAGGGCTCAGCCTGCATCAGGGCTGGGTTCAGTCCAGGCAAGTGATGCGGGCTGACCCTCCACCTGCTGTCCCAGGCTGCGGTGGGGTGGAGGGAGTGCCCAGGTGCCCATCTGGAGCCCACCATCTGCAATTGCCCATTCTGATCCCAGCTCCTCCAGAATGGCTGGGTCAGAACCCCTTTCCCCTTCCAGTCTGCCCACAGACATCAGGGTTTCCCACTCATACTATGTTCTGCTGCTATGAATACATGCATACACACCACCATGCTCAGGGCCCGAGAGATCCTGGAAATGGCCCCCACAGGAAAAAACAAGAAATCTATCGTTTTCTTCCGTTACCACTCCAGCTTCCCTCAACCCCAGCCAACCAGGACTACCAAGTCCAAGAATCCTAAAACATAAGTGCTAGCATGCTCACGGAGAGAGAAACTGAGGCCCAAGGAGGCCTTGGACTTGTCTGAAGTCACATGGCAGATAGCGGCAGAGTCAGGCCTGGAAACCAGGTCCCCTGCCCATGGCCTCTGGAGGCCTTTTCTTCTGCCAGCTGCTCTGAGGCAGAATCCAGCTCTGTAAAGCATGTTCTCAGAACATTCCACCTTCCGCGGCCCTTCCAGGGGAGCTCCCAATGGCCCTGCCGCCACACACCAAGCATTACCATCCAACCAGGGTAAAGTTTCTAGGCCAGGGAGGGGAGCTCTGATCAAGGGGGCCCCCACAAAGGTCCCCCCAGGCTGCAGGGGAGGAAGCATAACTGACCTCACTTCCTCGTACTTCTTGTCTCGGTAAAAGTGGCTCTTCTTGATTAAGTAGATAAGTACCAAGTCACAGAAGAAAGCCCCCTGCAGCAAAAGAGTTAGGGTTCCCTACTCAGAATCCTAGGTTTCCAGAAAGCACCCTGCCATTTGACACACAGTACCTTCTGTCGGACCCTACAACAACCCCTAAAGAGCACCATTATCTCCAATCAATAGATAGGAAACTGGGCTCAGAAAGAGGCACCTTTGTCCAAGGCCACAAAGTTTGTCCGTGGTACAGCCAAAGTTAGCCCGGAGTTAGCAGATGGACTCCATCTGCTCTATCAGGCCAGGCACCCCTGCGTTGCCCTGACCCCATCCAATCATGTCTTCAACAAATGTCTACTGAGCACAGGCATTGCAGAGGGAGCAAAGGAAATTCCAGAGGGCCCGTGGTGCAAAAGCAAGAGACACTTCTGGAGATGGGGATGGGGACATGGGGACCAGCCTGAAAATTTTCTTATAATGCCTTTGAGGCCTTGGTCTTAATCCCTCAGGGGGAGGCCTTGAATAGGGGCACAGAACTTTGGCATTCTAGAAATGTCTAACGTTCTTTCTGGTAGTCAGTGTGAGAGACGGGTTGGAGAGGATCTGAAGAACAAGAATGACAGGGGTGGTCAGGGATGGGGGAACAACAGGATGAGGTTGAGGATGGAGCTAACCCAGGGGAACCCACCCACACCTGTTCACAGGGGCTTCGGACCAGAGCGCATGGTGCACACGCCCGTCTCGTCCACCAGAGGGCCACTCCAGCCGCAGCACGGAGGGGTGGGGGTGTTTCCTACCAGAAAGAGGAGGGAATGAAGCAGGGGGGGTGGGCCAAGGGAGACCTGGGCCTCTGACTCAGGGCACTGCACAACTCTTCCCCCGCCCCTGCCCAGATGCCCCAAATGTTATTTATCAACTCCTCCTTCCACAGAGAACGCTCCACCCAACCCAGCCTCCGCCACCACCTTTCCCATTACCTTGATTTCACAGGTATGTACCCCATGCGCTCGTGTTCCGATTTACCCACATCATAAGAAAGTAATGACTGACAGTGGCCCCTCTCTAAGAAAGTTATATGAGCAAACACAGGATTCCCTAACAATGGTTGTTTGCAGTGAAGAGGAATCCTTTGGGGCTCACTGTCACCCACCACCTCTCAGGAGAACAGCCTTGCTGAATCCTCTGACTTGTTGATACTGTTACACGGTTTTCCTGGCCTCAATAAAAAGTCCACCCTAGGTCCCGCCAGAGGCCTCCAGTGGGGCCAAGAGGACAAGGCTGCCGGAAACCCTGGCAAGGAGCTTGCCAGGATGGGCAGGGGCCACCCACGGACAGCTCCCATGTCTTTAAAAAAAACTTCCAGGGGCGCCTGGGTGGCGCAGTCGGTTAAGCGTCCGACTTCAGCCAGGTCACGATCTCGCGGTCCGTGAGTTCGAGCCCCGCGTCGGGCTCTGGGCTGATGGCTCAGAGCCTGGAGCCTGTTTCCGATTCTGTGTCTCCCTCTCTCTCTCTGCCCCTCCCCCGTTCATGCTCTGTCTCTCTCTGTCCCAAAAATAAATAAACGTTGAAAAAAAAAAAAAAAAACTTCCAGAAGAAAAAAGGGGCATGACAAGAGATTCGGGGGAAAGCGTTGCCCACCCTCCAGCAACTATTTCCTCTCCTGTGCGTCCCTCTGGGCCCAGCTGGACAGATCTGAGGAAGGACCACAGCCTGACTCCCTCGATGCTCATCTTTTTAGCCCCCGGATTTCCAACCGGGGGTGATTTTGTTCCCCGGGGGACACGTGGCAATTTCTGGAGACATTTCTGGCTTTCACAAGGGGGAGAGAAAGCACTGTGGGCATCTAGCGGGGAGGTAGTGCGATGCTGTTCATCATCTCACAGCACACAGGGTGGCCCCACACAGAAGAGCATTAGCAGTAGGGCCACAGCTGAGCAGCCCTGCATATAGCTGGATCCTGCTTCTTTTTAGCAGCAGTGGAGATGAAGCTTAGAAGTTCAGGGTTGACCCAGGATCCCAGAGAACCCCAGCCCCGCCCCCAGCTCCAGAGCTCCAGGCAGATACCTCTCTGGCTCTGGAAAGAGAAAGTCAGTCAGTCACTGCCACCTGGGGCTGTTGGCAGGTTTCAAGTCCCAGAAAGCCCTCTTTACCCGCATCCCACTGACCTCGCCCGTTCTTATTCTTTCTGAGGCATGAGGACAGCACCTCTGGAGCAGTGTCCCCCTCCCCAGCCGGTGCTCAGAGGGTGAAGGTGAGGGGAAGGAGGTACTCACAGCACCCATGAGCGCCACCCCAGAGCCAATGTTGATGATTGTGGGGATGATGTTGAACTTCCCTGCCTGTAGCACAGAGAAACACAGCAGGGTGAACAAGGAGGGGCGGACAGCAAGATTCCTAGGTACTCCCAACATGCCCCACTCCAGACCTGCCCGGCCTCAGGATGGGAGATACACCCACACACCTTGCCATTCACCATCACATCAAAGCGGATCCCATAGGCCTTCATGAGGGTGCGGAACTCCACTCCAGCTCCATCTCGGTAATATTTGGCAAACCTAGGGGAGACATGGCCCAGGGGAGACCTTCTGTGCTTGGCAACACATACCAGGCCGCTTTGGAGATTTATGAGCACCCCCGGGGAGGTTGGAGACCCTCTTGCTAACGTTATGGTAAAGACTCCTCCAGATCTTTGAAATCCTTACAGACATCCCCCAAGAGGCAAGGGCTTTCCCACAACACACTGGGCCAACCCAGGGCCACTACAGCACTGATGGAAGTGACTGAGCTAAGAAGCTAAGCCTCGGCTTCCTGGCGAACCCACAGGGTGACAGGAACTTCTCTCCTCTCCCAGTGATGCTCCCAGCTGGCACCCCTCACCTCTCCTCAGCTCCTTCTCCCTACACCTCCCACTCTGACAACCTCCCCCCAGTAAGGGGTGTCATAGTGCTGGCACCCAGAAAAGGACAAAATGTGGCCAGGGTCACAAGACAGCAAGTCTAGCCCCAGTTACCTGAAGTTGTACCCAGAGGAGATGGAGTTTTCTGAAAATTTGTTGTCCAGACGGCTAAAAGAATAGCGAGGGTTGCATTCAGAAGGAGCTTTATCAAGATCACAATCCCATTCAATCTGAATTCCTATCACACCACCCTTGATGAAGAAGAGACAAGAATTAGTGCACAGAACTTTGTGGAGATGGGCAGAAGTCACAGACTGGCTCTTCACCGAGAGCTGGACAAGATGGGGAAAGTGCTCAGGCCACGGGTCAGCCCCGCCGGAGCATCCTCCCAGGAGGAAGGCAGAAGCTCCAGGTCCCTTTGGAGAGGCTGAGAAAAGCACTTTGCTGACAGCCCCCACCCCCCAAGTCCCCTGTTTCATGCTTCCAAGGAGAAGGGAACTACTGGAGCCAGCACCTTACATGACAGCCGGACGCACCAGTGGGGCTCCTTCGGGCTCAGTTTCAACTGATGCCCCCAAGGACTGCGAACCAAACAGCAGGTGCTCGCTGTGTTTCACTGAGTGCCTGGGTTCTGACAGGCTGTGCGTCAGAGCTAATCCTGAAGACAGTGAGTCCCTGTGGCAGGGGACTCTGCACTACCACTCGACCCCAGGCGTCCCCCTCCTCACCACCCTCTTCCTGGGCCCAGGCCCAGAGCTCTTGGGCCCGCGAGCCCCCAGGCAGGGCTCCCTGAGTGCATGCTACCCACCTGCAGGGCTATCTCCTGGAAGTTGCTCCCCGTCCAGCTGACCACAGACCCCAGTCGGAAGATGGGGCAGTAGGGGTTCTCGGGGCCAAAGTGACAGGACTTCAGGAAAGCCTTGTCTTTGGTGTCCAGCACATTGGTCCTGGATGGAGGCCACGAACAGACAGTGAAATGAAGCCAAGACTGGCTGTTCCCGGGCCAGACACAGCCTGACTGACGCAGGAGTCCCAGGGCCTTTACCTGGCCCAGGCTGAGTCCCCGACTTCAGCCCCTACTCAAGTCCTGACTACTCCTCCTCAGCACCCTCCTCCATTCAAGGACAGATGCTGGGCGTGCCCCAGCATCACCCAGTGGTTCGTTCACATGCAGATGTCGCACACGCCCATGCACACGGGCCGCGCACAGTGAACAAGGAGGCAGGCCCTAGATCCCCGGGAACCAAGTCCCACATACTTGGAGAAGTTGAATTTGGGGAAACGGATGAAGTTCTTTATGTAAATGGTGAAGTCTTCAGCCTTGCCCAGGAGTGGCTTCCTGCAAATCAAGCCAGGACAGTCTGTCCAGGAGGCCCTGGCCCTGCTTCCTCTGTACATCCCCCCAGGCCTGTGGCACGACTGAAGCCTGCCTGCTCCCTGGGTTCCCTGGAGCCTTTGCCGAGGACCACCAATTTGTTCATGTAGGGGTGATCCTCAGGCCTTTGTGGGGCGTCCTCAGAAAGAGGATCTCAGAGTACACATGTCTCCACCATCAGGCTGAGACCCGCTCACTGCCCAGGTAGCTCTTCAGGGTCCCGAGGCCATAGCCACTCACGCTGGCCTGGACTTTGTCTCCACTGGGCACCAGGCGAAGATCTCGCAGGTGCCCCTTTGCATGTTCCCCACCCGAAGGCAGCGGCCAGTCCGCACTCCTGCAAGATTGGGACGGGAACAATGCTATAAGCCTCCTGGCTCCAATCCCCCCGCTTTGCTCCCAACCCCGCCATTCCAGGCCTCACCATTTCCAGCCACAACGGGCTCCCCAGGAGGGCAGTCACTGTCTCTGTAACACAAGGCATCCGGAATGCTTTCACTCTGCCGGAAGAGAAGGGGCACCTGGCTGGGCGTTCCCCTGCAGGGGCTCCAGTTCAGAACCAAGGTCCCACCCCAGGAGCTGGGACGGGGGTTCCTCCCCCGAGTGGGGCCACACACACCCTGGGAAACCTGCTTCTCTCCCCCCAAGCGATGCAGGTGTGTGCTCCAGTGTACATATCCTCCGGGCATTGGAAGGGGGCAGAAACCCCTACGTCAGGAGAAGGGTAGACCCCAACCACTGATGGAGGCTCACCCCCCCCCCCAGCTTTCTGCACCAAATCAAACCTCAGCACAGGTTTTCTGCTGCTGGTTGGGGGTCACGATCAAGTTGGTGATGACAAAGAAGACGTTCTCTCCCTGAGAAGCCAGAGAGGGGTTGAGGGACATCCTCTTACCCTCTCGGGAACCCTCCTTCCCAGGATTCCTGGCAGGGGGTGTTGAGGACAACGGGGCCACAAAATCAGTGGATCCCACCCATTTGCCCACTGACTCTGAAGTCCTTGAGTAGATGTCCTTTGATAGGTCCCTTTCAGGCCCACAACCCCAAACTGGCCCCATCCACGGATCCCTATTCTGACCTCAGCCCCTGGGATCTAAGCCCAGATCTGGGAGAAGAGGTACTGACAGGGTGGCCAAGGCCCTGGCCCGGGCCAGTTGTGAATAGGCCAGGGAGCCATTCCCAAGGGCAGCAGCTAATGTACGGGAGCAGTTCTCTGTGCCAGGCCACCTGACTCAACACTGATCTGGAACTCCTTGGGGCCCCATTTGGTCTCTACAGGCTCAGGGTTTGTTGGGAAGGGAGCAGTCCCATAGGTGCAGTCAAGGAGGGCAAGGGGTTGGTGTTGGGGGAAGGATCTGAGCAGGGTCTCCATCTGCAAACCCTGGCAGCTGTCCTGGGCCAAGGGAGAAAATCGATGAAGTCCCTGGGTACCTCATCAGCTTCCTATGTGACCCACCCCGAGCCAAGCCCTACTAGCGGAGGTCCCAGTGCTGGGTGGGGCTCAGACCTGGGGTGGGATGACGTAGTCGGCAACATCCCAAAGTCGCTCTCCGAGCTCAGAGGTGTTGGTGAAGGTCACGCCCTTGACTTTCGTGATGATACTGCTCTGCAGGGAGGTGTCGGTGTCTTGGTAACCCTTCTTCACCAGGAACACCCACCTGTGGGAAGAGGGCCCGGCAGGTGGGCATCAGCGTCACTGCTGCCCTCTGGGAATTTTCCCCGGGGTATTCACCTTTCCCCAGCTCCTGGGCAGGGGCCACGACAGCACTGCTGCCTGAGACCCCGTCCTGCAAGCAGCAGAGGCGACAAGCAACCCTGAGAGCAGGAAGATGGCTGCCCTCAGGGGCTAAGGCCTTGAAGCTGGCCCACGCTGTGCCAGCCCGCTCACCCCTACGCTGGTGATGTGATCTCGGGAGGGCCGATGAACTCCGGGGGTCAGCACAGGGACAACAGTGCCTCCCTCCAGGGGTGTGAGGACAGTTAAAGGAAATGGGGCACAACCTGAAACTAATCATGAGGACACCTCAGACAAATCCAACCTGGGGCATTCTACAAAACAAGAGTACAAAATCCTATACTCTTTGACACCCAAAACACATGCAATAAAAGAAAAAATAGATGAGTGGAACTTCATCAAAATTAAAAACTTTTGTGCATCAGGGGCGCCTGGGTGGCGCAGTCGGTTAAGCGTCCGACTTCAGCCAGGCCACGATCTCACGGTCCGTGAGTTCGAGCCCCGCATCAGGCTCTGGGCTGATGGCTCGGAGCCTGGAGCCTGTTTCCGATTCTGTGTCTCCCTCTCTCTCTGACCCTCCCCTGTTCATGCTCTGTCTCTCTCTGTCCCAAAAAAAATAAATAAACATTGAAAAAACTTTTGTGCATCAAAGGACACTGTCGAGCAAATGAAAAGATAACCCACAGAAGGGGGGCAATATTTGCGAATCAGATAGCTGGTCAGGGTCTGGTACCCAGAACATATAAAGAACTCTTACAACTCAGCAATAAAAAACACAAATAACCCAGTTAAAAAAAGGAAAATAACGAGTGTTGGTGAGGCTGCAGAGAAACGGGTACTTGCCACGGTACAGCTGCTGTGGCAAAGTCTGACCGTTCCTCAAAAGGTAATGATCTGTCCTCGCAACTTCACTCCAAAATATACACCCCAGAGAACTGGAAACCCACATGCACACAAAAACTTGCACATGAATGGTCTCGGCAATGTTGTCTGTGACAGCCAAAAGGGAGCAACAACCCAAATGTCTGTCCACACAGAAGAACAGACAAACAAAATGCGGTTTATCCATACAGTGGGATCGTGTTCAGCCATAAAAGGAATGAATGACTGATATACGCGACAGCATAGGTAAACCTTGGAAACATTCTGTTAAGTGAAGTAAGGGAGAATGCCAACCCACTGCTAGCAGTTAGTTATGGGTTTTCTCCTGGGGTGATGGACAGGTTCTGAAATAAGATAGCGGTGATAGTTGTAAACATGGTGAATATTCTAAAAGCCACTGAATCGGATAATTTTAAATGCTTGAAACGGTGCATTACATACTATGTGAATTTTACTTCAATTTAAAAACTGTAATAAAATAAAAATCCTGCACTCTTCAAAAAACATCAGTGTCATGAAATACAAAGACAGTCTCAGGTACAATTACAGATTAAAGGAGACTAAGGAGATAAGACAAATGAATGCAAGGCAGGATTTCAGTTTTTGTTTTTTTTTTTTGCTATTAAAGGTAATTATTAGGGGTGCCTGGGTGGCTCAGTCGGTTGAGCATCCAACTTCAGCTCAGGTCATGATCTCGCGGTCTGTGAGTTCAAGCCCTGTGTCAGGTCTGTGCTGACAGCTCGGAGCCTGGAGCCTGCTTGGGATTCTGTGTCTCCCTCTCTCTCTGCCCCTCCCGCATTCATGCACACACTCTCTCTCTCTCTCTCTCTCTCTCTCTCTCTCAAAAGTAAACTTAATAAAAACAATTTTTTAATAAAAAATAAATAAAGGTAATTACTGGAACCATTTACAAAAGGTCTGTAGGTTAGAAAATAATATTGATTCAATGTTATTATCTAATTTCCATAGCTGTACTTGGTTAATTAAATAAGAGAATTCCTTGGTTTTAAGAAATACACACCAAAGTATTTAGTGGTAAAGGGGCATAATGTCTGCAACTTACTCTTAAACAGAAAAAATTGCATATATACACACACATCACGTGTGTGGAGAGAAAAAGGGAAAAGGACAACACAAACGTAGTAAAATGTTAACATCTGAGCAATCTAGGTGAAGGACGTTTCAAAAAGTTTATGCTACTCTTGTAACCTTTCTGTAAATCTAAAATTATTTCAAAATATCAAAAAAAAATCTGTTTTTTCAATGAGATGGCACATGTAAATTGCTTAGCACAGTGAGTGCCAGGCCAGGGAAGAGCTCAATAAATACAACTCATCAACTTACTGGTGACGTGACAGTTAAGGTTAGAGACTATACAGCTTGACCGCTTGGGAAAGTTGGGAGGCCAGGAGAGGGCAGGAAGCTGCCTGCCTGAGGTCATGCAGGAGTGATGGGGGATGGCCTTCACCTCCCATGATGCCAGTAAGGGTTCTTTGCATAGCAGGTGCCAACCAAAATGTGCCCACCCTCTTCATCTCCGGAGGCAGACCTGCTATGTCCTAAGTCCTAGATTCTCCTTGTCTCCAAGGAACCCTGAGAGGGCTGGGACAGTGAGCCAACATTAGTAGGCACAAACTGGGCCCAGCCTGGACAGAAACATTGAGCAAATTCTCAGGGAACAACACTCATTCACTCATTCATTCATTCATTTCACACCTACTTCCTAGCAGTTAGGTGATGCCAGGCCCTGCCTGCCTTCATAGTGTCTCCAGAATGGACGGGAGTCAGGCATTAAGCAAACGATCCCTGTGGAATGCATCAGAGTTATTCGAGAACGTGGGTCTGAAGCATGAGCGGGCGCTAACCAAGGAGAGGCGTAAAGGCGCATGTGGCTGAGGAACAGCATGTCCAGAGGCCCTCAGGTGAGAGGCATGCGGGTGCCTTAGGGATGAAGCTCCACGGGCAGTTGGGGCAGTGGGGGCACTTGGCCTCCTAGTGAGGTCAGGGTGGCGCTCCCAGGAGGAGCATCTGTTCCTCCCCCAGTCAGGAAATAGTAGGGACTCAACAGCATTTACTGAAGCAGCAAAAGAGGCACACCAGCCTCCCAGACATCTGGTGTCATTTCCTCCCTCCACCTGTTCCCTCCCTCCTTGGGGGCGAGGGTACTGAACAGTGCCTGGCCGAGCAATTCCAAGGAGCTGCCCCCTCTGCCCATGGTGCCAGCTCCCGCCAGGTGGGAGGGGGGAAAGGTAGAGGCAGAAGGTCCGGCTGGGTGCCCGGTAGAGAGCCTCAGGGCAGGACCCCCAGCGGGATACCAGAGAGGCCGCCCGACCGGGGTGTGCTGAGTTGACCAGAAGGGAGTGCTGGGACATACCAGGCTGCTGAGTTGTCCCGGCCAGGAGCTTGCCACTGAGCTCAGTGATTATAAATAACCCACCCGGTGCCTGGGCCTGCACCAAAGAGACCAGGGAGGCTCCCAGAGAGACAGCTGGAGCCAGGCCCCTGCGTCTTTGCCCCTTTCGAGTGGCCCCGACCCCAGGGCCCCGGCCCAGAGGAAGGAGCTGCCCACGGAGAGGCTGGTAAATGAAGGAACACAGATTTCCCTGCCCGCATCTCATCACCTCCAGAGCCGGTGGGGAAAGAGGGCTCTCTCCTTACCTGCCACCCTTAGACCTAAGAGCCCCTGGCTGAGCCTGAGGAACGCTGGTCCAGGTCCCAGGTCCCTGGAGGGGGCAGCCGCGGCCCCTCGCCTCCCCCACCCCCCGACAGCCCCCGGAGAACTCACACCACCAGGTAGGTCAGGATGGAGACCTGCAGCAGCCGGTAGAGCAGGCCCACCTTCTTGTTCTTGGCGATGACATATTTCTCGGTCTTGTAGTCCAACAGCGACTGGGAGAGCCCCTTGCAGCCCGCCTGCCCCATGGCGCTGCCTCACCTGCGCCTGCGGCCCGGGCCTCCGCTCGGGTGCCGCATGGGAGTCGCCTCTCGCCGCTGCTCCCCGCGGGTTCTAGGAGGCTCGGCACTGCGGTTCCCGAGGGCGCGACTCCAAGCAGCGGGGTCGCCGGCCGGGCGTGCAGGGCGAGGAGCGCGCGGGGGCACCGGCCGCTGCGGGCGAGGCTGCGGAAGCCGCGGCCGGGGCCCGGG